CTCTGGTGGGCAGGGACTCCTGACCTCCTTCCCAGCCTCCCTCAGCTGGTGCCTTCTGCTGTTCCCAGGTTTTGGGAACTCGGCACCTTCGAAGGAGGCAAGCACAGAGGCAGGGCGGGCACAGCTGTTGGAGCGAGTGCTGCAGGACCTAGAGGTGCAGAATGTCGTGTTGGTGAGCCCTTCACTGAGTGGCTGCTATGCCCTGCCCTTCCTGATGCAAGGCCACCACCAGCTGCATGGATTCGTGCCCATTGCACCTGCGTCCACCCAGAACTACACCCAAGAACAATTCCAGGCCGTGAAGGTACTGGGAGGAGGGTCTCCAAAAGTCCTGGCTTCCTGTCCCTGGCTCAAGTCATGGGGGGAAAGGCCTCAGGTCTTCCTTGGAGGACACATGGCCCCATCCTTGATCTGGATGGGAGAGATGGGGTGTATAGGGAAGATTTCCTAAGGAGGTAGCTTGAGGGCCAGTCCCCATCAGGCCCCAGGATCACAGCTCCTTGCCTTGCTCTGCAGACCCCGACTCTCATCCTGTATGGGGAGCTGGACCGCGTCCTGGCTTGGGAGTCACTGCGGCAGCTCCGCCACCTGCCTAACCACTCTGTGGTGAAGCTGCGCGATGCAGGCCATGCCTGCTACCTCCACAAACCACAAGACTTCCACCTCGTCCTTCTTGGCTTCCTTGACCATCTGCCTTGAGCTCACCCACTGTCCAGGCCCCAGGCCTGGCCTGAACTTGGAGGATCTGGACCAGTCTCCACCAGGGAGGCAGTCCCTGGGGTTGGAGGGTAGAGGCCAGAGGGCCAGGCCCAGTCAGGACCTCTCATTTCATCTCAGAGGCACAATAAAAGAAAGCATTTTTGTTATGCCTAGGGAGTGACAGGTTCTGTTTCCTGGCGTTGCTGCAGGTGGGGTTAGAGTTGGAGGCAAGTCTGGGACTGCTTTGGGACTGAGAGCAGGAGGGATTGCTCCAGCAGCCTGGGAAGGCTAAGGACATGCGCTACTTACTAGATGGCTGCTGAGTGGCTACTCTGACTCAGTTTCCTCATCTGTAAAATGGGCATGATGGTAACACCTAGCTCAGAAAGTGGTTTTAGGATTGAGTCTGGTTAAGCAGAGCACTTGGCCATACTGGGCTGGTGACGTGGGAGTGTCATGGAGAGGGGGTGTTACTACTGCTGAATGACCACTGGCATTGGTGGGAAATCCAGGGTCTAGCGGCTGAGTTGAGTGAGTCAGGAATAGAGGACCTATGGCCGAAGGGAGCAAGATTTGTAAAGGTGGGGTGGAGAATGTGGTTTAATAAGTAACACAGTATTGGGAAGAGGGAAATTTCCCCCTCTACCCCTCTTGAGTTCTTGGCTGGACTAACAATAAAATTTACACAAAACATTAATAGGAGAAAAAGAAATTTTAATCATGTGCAAGGAGGCCTCATAGAAATGGGACCTAAGAAGTGGCCAGAGCAGGCAGCTTTCATACTTTTTAGACAAAGAATAAATTTGTGAGGACTTGACAGGACAAAGAAGCATATTTTGGCTGCTCAATTGGTAAAGAATCTAAACAGAGTGGGCTTGGGAGTAGTAAATTAAAGAATTAACAAGGTTTGTTTATACAGGCTTCTCAGCCTGAATTCCCTATCTCCGGAAATCAGGGTGTCCTACCTCCAGATGCAGGGAGTGTACCTTTCGTATAGAGATTTATTTCTTGTTTTCAGGGAGACAGAAAGGAGGGTCAGAATGTCTCTCTTGCAGTGGACATTTCTCAAGTGACTTTAATTCAAAATAATTAACATGCCACTGAGGCACATTTTGGGATGGCCTGCCCTGGGCCCCAACAATAGCATTGTTGGTGAACCACCAAGCCTGCTTGCCCCCTGGGAATCTGTGGGTCAGCAGTCTGACTTAAACCTCACGAGGGTTGGATGGACCCTACCCTACCCTGCCAGCCTGCCTCCTCTGTGCCCAGAGGTTGAAGTCTTCAACCCCACCCCTCCCCAAGCTGATTCAGCCCCTGGAACGGAGGGCAGAACTGGCTGAGACTACAAAGGACAGCCGGACGCACAAATGGGCAGCTACAACTGTGTGCAGCCTGTGGGTGGCCAGTGGGACACCTGTGCCTCTTTATCTTCCCTCTCCAGTGGCTGCAGAAGAGCCAGGGAGCCTGGCACAGGGTCAGCCAAGAAGGTGCCACACGTATGCTTTTGTGCAGTTTCCCACCTCTCATTCTGTCATACAGCGTCACGATTACATCCTCTCATCGTGCCATCCTCTGTCACACCCAACCACCATCTCACTCACATTGTCATACACACAGTCACCCACTGATACACAGATTTGCCTACACAGTGGTGCGATCACACATGCGCCCATCCGTTCATTTATCCTTCATTCCTGGCACGCTGTCCGTCTGTTCTGTCCCCTGCCAGGGACAGAATCCTGCGGGTACGTGGACCAGCATCTTGGAGCTCACAGATATTAACCAATAACCTCTCCACACAGGGAGCATTGAGGCAGTCAGGGAGGCCGCCCCTGAGGAGCTGAGGCGTGAGGAGGGGAGAAGTCCAAGACTCGCGGGAGGGGGTGGTGGAGCAGGCCAGGGCCAGACCCAGCAGGACTTTTCAAAGCTGTACTGAGAGCGAGGGGGCGCTCAAGGGTACAGCTGCGAAGTTTCCGGTCAGTGCCCGCCTTCCTCCCTTCTGGCCCAATCGGGAGGTTGCAAGAGGTGGGGCCCGCTGCCCAGGGCCAAGGGCGGGGCCTGCGGGGGCGGGGCCAGCCTGTAGCTCGCAGTCGGCTGCAGGGCGGAGCCGGCGGCGGAGGCAGCTGCCCTGGGGTGGGCCCCTGAATCCCAGCCTCGTGTAAGTGGCGGAGGCTGGAACCACTGGCTGGCGGAGACGCCCACGCTCACTGGGCCTTAGAGATTGGGACGGCCCTGATTCGCAGTCTTCGGTCCCGCCCTGCGAGGTCGGGCCACGTGGTGGGCGGACCGCGGCAGTTCTGATCCGGAGACCTCGCAGGACCTGGAGTCCCGCCCACAGTGCAGGGTGGACGCCGAGAGGGGAGCGCGGGCCCAAGACCAGCGAGAGTGAGGTGGGGGGCCGTGGAGAGGGGTAGAGGGATCTGGGGCTCCCTGACCTGAAATCCGGGCAACTGGGAGAATTTATTTGAGGAGGGCGGAGGGAGTCAATGTCTGGGTTCAGACGTGGCTCAGCTACTTTCTGGGTGTCTCTGAATCTCTCTTAGCTTTTTCCTCTGTAATGTGGGCTTTCAGAGGCACGAACTTCATGGGGTTCCTTGGGGGGTTAAATAAGGAAATGTGTTGAAAGTGGCCAGCACAGCGCCTGAAACAGAATGGGGCCTCTGTAACTGGGGGCTCCGAACCAAGGTATTCTCTCCCTGCGGGGCGGCCGGGGAACCGCCCTGGGGAGGGACTGCGTGTAAATGGAGCCCACCAGCCCCAGCGGCGGGGAGGGGTAGGTAGCCACTCGCTTTGCCCCTAGCTCACCACGGCAGGGCAGCGCCATGGCCAGCAAGCGTCGTGAGGGCGAGCACCCATCCGTGACGCTCTTTCGTCAGTACCTGCGCATCCGCACCGTCCAACCCGAGCCCGACTACGGTGAGAACGCGGCGGTTCCATGAGGACCTGTGGCGGGGCATCAGGGGCGGGGACTGTGCTCGAAACCAGGCGCCAACCCCTGTCACCCAGCTGAGCCTAATCTGCTGCCTCAAATGGCGCCTCCATTGCTCTAAGCCATTCCCTAGGTCAGCAGACAGCTCAGCATCCCCTCCAGGCTGTGCTGCTCCAAAAGTTACAACTGGCAGTTAAATAGGGAACAACTTCACCTCACTCTCCAGCACTTGAGGTTGGGGAAGGGAAGAAAAGGCCCCCGGCAGCGTACTGGGGCTGAACAAAGGCCGCAGACCTTTGGGGAATCAGGCTTGGTGGCTGGGAACTGTGTACTGGGGTCCAATCCAAATCCCTGCTCTGTGATTTACCAGCTGGGAGACAGTGGGTGAGCCTCATGTCTCCGCGCCAGTTTCCCCATCATTAAGGAAGGTAACAATGACACCTGCTTCTCACTCTGGACTTCCCGCCTGGCCTTCTACAAAGGGTCACTGGCCAAAAATGTCTTCTTCCTTGGGGACAGTGATGCAGATGTCTCTGACGGATGTGGAATTGTGTTGAGGCAGGGGTCTGCTCCCTTCTCTGGATGTACCCCCATCTCTGCCTGGGCCCGTGGGAGGTGTGGGGAGGCAGAAGCAGCAGCAAGGCTGTCTGTGTCCCCAGGGGCTGCCGTGGCCTTCCTTGAGGAGAGAGCCTGCCAACTGGGCCTGGGCTGTCAGAAAGTGGAGGTGAGCCTGTGGCCCTGCATGGGTAGGGGAGGTGGGCCTGGGGCAGCTCCTCACCGTGCACTGACAACCCCTCCTCCTGGCCCTCTCCAGGTGGCAGCTGGCCGTGTGGTGACTGTGCTGACCTGGCCAGGCACCAACCCCAGACTCTCTTCCCTCTTGCTCAACTCCCACACCGATGTGGTGCCTGTCTTCAAGGTGCGGGGGTCGTAGGGAGTGGAACAGCCTTGGGGACAAAGATGGTACAGATCCCCCATTCGACTTCAGGGATCCCACGATGCTGGTCCTGGCACTGATTTGACCTCATAGAGCATTACTCCACTCAATCAAGCAGCCTCTGCCCAGTAGCCATTCCATGCCAGGGGTGGGGTAGGCCAGAGCGGGGGTTGGTGGTGGGAGGCAGAGATGAGGGATGGCTGTCAGCTGCCCTCTTCAGCCCTACGTGGGCTCCTAGGGCACCTGCTCCCTGGGCAGGGCCACAGTTGAGCAGAGTGGATTAACGACTACATTTGGTGCTTGGGTCCCTCTTCCTGCCCCTGCCCCCAGGAACATTGGAGTCATGACCCCTTTGAAGCCTTCAAGGATGCTGACGGCTACATCTATGGCAGGGGCGCCCAGGACATGAAGTGTGTCAGCATCCAGTGAGTGTCCTTCATTCCCAGTTTCCCCACTGGCCCGTTGGATTGACCCAGGACCCAGGTGTGATTGGAGAATGTCAAGGCCAAGGAACATCTTGACCCCTTACCTTGGGTGGGAATTCCTGCTATGACCATTGCATAGATGGGGAGACAGGGACAGAGACTTTCTGGAGTCACCTGCTAGGCTGTGGCAGAGCAGGGCCCAAGGCTGCAGCCTGCCTGCTCTGATGGCTCCCCCCCAGCACCTGGCTTACACCCTCTTACTGCCCCTCAGGTACCTGGAGGCTGTGAGGAGGCTGAAGGTTGAGGGCCACCATTTCCCCAGAACCATCCACATGACCTTTGTGCCAGGTAGGAGTGACTCAAGGAGGGGCACCTTCAGGGGTGGGGAGAGTGTTGGGGTACCCCCTATCTCA